GATTAGAAAAAGGTGAATTACAAAATGAGTAGGCTACAGAGCAGAGTAAACATTTGGGACAATGCCTGTACAGATCATCAGGGAATAGAGTCAAGCTAAGAGTTTGGCCAAATAAAGTTAATAGCGCCTGAAAAAAAAAAAGAAAAAGAGTCTCACTCCAGAAAGCACACCAGTTCTGGCATGCTAAACATTTCCTGGAGTCTTTTTGAATGATGTAGCAGGAATTCGCTGTCCTGGGTAGGTCAGCTTGAGAAAGGATGGCTTCTTCCCCTAATCACAGTCAAGACTGAACTGAATGAAGGTAGTGTAAGGTATTCAAAGGCTGCTTAGGGCGTCCAGGAACTTCTCCTAGTCCAGGTTGCTATCCTTCCACCAACGGACAGACGGACCCTTTCACGAGCCACACCAGCTCACCTGACCACCACCTTTGACTTCCACCTGCATTCTTCCTCATTGCTCTCTTTCACAAGGTTTCCCAGTGCTATTTGTTGTCTGCATCATCTATAAACACTCTCCTGTCTGTGAACGTGCCGTGTCTTTTCAGTCTGCTGCTTCGCCTGCACCACTCGCGTGCCGCAGCAGCCAGCCTGAGCGCGCAGGGTTTAAGATTAGTATAGACTCCAGCTCTCTCTTTGGTAGAGCTACTGAATAGTTCCTTGTTCCTGCGGAATACTGTAGTCAAATTCCAATCATGAAGTGGAAACCTTGCTATACCGTTATTAAGGACTTCCTACATTTTTATGAGGAGCCCTGGTGAGGTCGTGCCTACACATTGGGTGACAGTCTTGGAAACCCACAGGGACAGTTCTACCCTGTCCTATAGGGTGGCCATGAGTTAGAATTGACCATGATGCTTTCTACTCATACTTTTCCAGTTTTAACCCACCATCCAGCTTCTCAGCAGGTGAGGCGGTGCGGGGGAGGGGATGTGGCACCTGGCTCCTGCAAAGATGACGGTCTTGGAACACCTGTGGGGCTGGTCCACTGTGTCCAGTAGTGCCGTGATTTGGAATCAACTTGACAACAAACAAGGACAGTATCCTTTCTGTTCGTCAGTGGTCGCAACTTGATGCACACCTTGAAAATGAGAGTGCTTCTAAACAGGTTGAGGAATAAGATGGAATGTTGATAAATTCATTCCCTCAAGTTTTTACAGGGCACTTCTCTTGATGAACTCTAGGTTTTGCATTCTCTGTTCACGAGAAGTTTATAATTTACTGTGAAAAAGCAAAGGAAAAAAAATCCATGGCGTGCAAACCCAACACCAAACTCCCTGCTGTGGAGCGACGCTGACTCATAGCAGCGCTATAGGACAGGGTAGAACTGCCCCTGTGGGTTTCTAGACTGACACTCTTTGCAGAGTGGTTGATTTCAAACCGCTGACCTGGTAGTGACCAGCCCAATGAATAACCACGACACCACTACCAGAACGCCTCATGGCTCATAGTGACAAATGTTTGAATAGTGAGTGACGGAGAAAGTGAGTCACGGCAATAGAGATAAACAGGCAAAACATGACACAAGGCCATATTTCACAAGGCCATATTTCACAAGGCCAAATGATTGAAAACAAATTAGAGC